ATATATATATATATATATATATATATATATACATACATACATACAGAGAGAGAGTATGTCATTTGCTTTCACTTTTCTGTACTTCATCTAAGTAACATTTTGCAATTTCGAAATGCACATAAAGATTTTTTTTTTTTTGTTGCTATTATTAAGCTCAAATAATCTTCACCCAAGACTTCTAGTTCAAGGATAAATGTATAAAGTTGTATTTCATTGAGGGTTTATGTAATGAAACAACAGTGCATAGCTAGTTGAAAGAAAGTTGTTCATTTAAAAAATATTTTAATGATCCCAAACAGAACTCTTACCCATCATATCCATGATCCATGTTTACATTTTTTTAAAATAATACTCTCAAAAGTGTGGTGTGCATTTATGCTGAGCCCCCTTTTACTACGACACCCCAGTTATTCTAGCTATAAATGTAGCTCATCTCTTCTGTGGCCTCTCAGCTCTGAGGGTGTGTGGATACTTTTGTAAAGCGCTCTATACATGGAACAAACCTAAGCTTGCATAGTAAAGCTCTTCTATTTAAATAGAGCTACTTTATTTTCAATAATCAGATTCTGTAGCTGCACAATATTCGATAATCTTGCAATAATGTTGCTAATTATTGTGATGGTAATATCAGTAACAATATGTCTGTTTTCTTCTTTCCACTCTCATCTGTGCTTCCATCACTGACTGACCTTTAGTCATTTGACCAGTGTCATTAGTGTCCAGTGTGAACATCTGCTGCTGCAAGACTCTGTCCAAGTGACTAAATATTACATTAGCATGGATAAATTAAGTTCATAACATCTGGAATATGTGAAGTCACCATATGACATTATTACTTTATGTTGCCATTTATTAAGCTGTTTAATGTTCTGTTAGTGAGGATGTGTGTGTCTTAAAGCTGCAGTCATCTCATCTTTTTCTGCTTCTGATGTCCTTTGAAAAACTCATTTGGCATTTTGCCATTACAAATGTACGCACGACTTTGACAATATTCTGTTATTGTCAACAAAATACAATTTTGCCATTGTGGTGTTTTTATTAAATGAGAAACATAATTACAGTCACAGATGAATAGGTCTGGTGATGCGATAAAGCATTAAAAAACATGCCACACCATGTTTTTGGCGTGTTTCCATAAAGCAAATTTGTTTTCAAAATGTCAAATTGTGCAATTACTTGGTCAGTGGAAACGCAGCTATTGTCTGGACAGCAGCCCTAAATTCTGTTTAATCCACAAACTGTTTCCATCCAGTTGTCATGTGGATTTTAAGCAAATTTTGTGTGTGTGTGTGTGTGTGTGTGTGTGTGTGTGTGTGTGGGTGTGGCGGGGGGGGGGATGAATTGTTTTTATCTACTGGCTTTGTGAATCAACCAGGCTACGCAAAGCCTAATTTCATCAGGTGTTGACGACTTTAATACATGACTGTATTAAAGAGATGCAGAGGTTTCAAGCTAGCATAGACCACACTTCACATAAATTGGAAAACGTTCTCACCTCTAAGCTGAAGGGTTGGACTTAGAAATTCCTTTGAGTTTCATGCATCTTGTGAGGCACAGAGCCACCAGTGGATGGGAGCAATCCTCTGCCACCATCCCAGCCTGGAGTGCCTTGAGCTGGGCCACTGTAAGCCACAGTTCTCCCCTCCGTGCAGGAGGTATGGACTTTGAAATGTTCTGATTTTTGCGCCTCCAGTAAGGCAGAGCTACCAGTGTATGGAAGAATTTGCTATGTGATATTTTTTTTTGACAAATGTATTTCTATGAACCAGATAAAAAAAATAAAACTAACTAAAAACAGAAGAGTCAAAACTATTGTTTCTGAAAAAGAAAATAATATATTTCCTGAAAGGAATCCCAGGAATTATGGGCAAGGTTAAGTCTCCATCCAGGTCAGGATTGGTGTAAACAGTGGATCCCATTAACAGTCTAATTTTGCTAATACCTGGCTCTAATCGGATGAAGCCACAGGGGGACTGAGTACAGGAACACTGGGGGCGTCTGCTTTAGCTACAGCCAAGATTAAAGGTTCACCTTTGGATCTCCTGCTTTTTCATGTCAGAGCTTTCTGGAATAGATAGAAAATGTAAACTCGGGTATATACCAGCTGGGGAATGTTGAACCATCTTCTATAAATAGGAAACACTCAGCCAAAATGTGGAAATATGACCAACACATGACTGTTGAGCAATCTCTGGCAGCAGTAATGCCTGGTAAAGAGTTTCTATATGACCTTTTTAGTCTCTGACAAGGTCGATGAACTTTGGCCTGATTTTATTCACCAAGTTATGTTGGTTTATCAAGTATTCTAGGTGTGGTTTCTTAATGTTCCACTTCGCAAATTACTGTTGAGATGTATACCTTCTCTTTTTGTTCTTTCTTTCCATCAACAATGTTCCATACACCGTCATACGAAACTCTTCTGAAGTTTTGGATCTACAGTGATTTATGCATGGCTTACCTACAAAATTGTTTAATTGAAGTATTTTATGCTTTATTCATTGCTGAACAGGAAATAAATTCTCAATTAAGCCTTCAAAGATTGTAGTTTTTCTATAGTGTTTTATTTTTTGGTTTGCTAGTTCTCTTGAGATGACGTTTTGTCCCACAGCCCTGGGTTAGAAACTGGCTGCATCTCGGGCTTCGGGATGCAGTGAGAATCAGGTGGTTTGCTCAGCTCCGTGTTACATAAAAGCTGCAACATGTTGCAGTGAGCCTCTCAGTTCATTAAACCTCTCTGTTTTTATCCCTCTCCTTTCCCCCCTTTGATGTGAATCTGTATTACGACCACCGGGGGAGCTGTGAAACGTCTCGCATGCAGCTTTTAGAAAGCCGTTCGACGGCCGGCCATAATATCGGAGCGGGCCTCCTGGAGGGCGATGTGATCGTTTCGACATCTAATCTGTGTCTTCACACCATTGTTCGCACATAGACATACACACACACACACACACACACACACACACACACACACAATTACCATGGCAACAGTGGGTCTCATCTCTGTAGGCAACATGGAAGAGTTTTTCTTTCACCTCTTCAGCTCCTCGTGGCGTTTCGGTGAGGATTCAGGGATGCCCCGCGGCGACATATTGTCCTTCACCGGGACATTGGAGATATTGGCCATGTTTTTAGCTAATCTGTCTGATTTTAATAAAGAAAGCCACCTCTGTTTCACTGGATGTTTAATGACTAGATGGTAAATATCCTGGAGTTATTTCAGCTCTGATAGTTGGAGATTGTTTTAGACACATCAAGCTTTTAAGAAGGCTGGAATATAAAAATAAATTGAAATGTTCTTTTTACAAATACTAAGGTTATAAAAGTGGAAATATTGTAGGTCTGGATCAATTACTGAAGTAACTGTCAACCAATTTAGTAATTGATTAATCGTTAAATGAACGATACAGACTCAAAAAAGGCCGTTTTGCTGGAAGAGAAAGTTTAATTGAGCCAAAACTCACATTTTCCATTTAAGACATAAAAACGTGTATCTGTGTTCAACCCAGAACTCTGAAATTGGCTTTGTTTTTTTCTTCACTTGTTTCAAATTCTGTTAAAAAAAAAAAAAAAAAAATTCTATTAAGTAGCTTTTGCTATTTATTTATTAATTGGTTGATAAAAATAAATTAACACAGCAGATTTACTTTGTATTGATATGATTTACATGTATTCACATGCTGGCATATTTTAGCTGCAGATTCATCCTTTCCTACAAATAATCAATAGTTCACTAAAGAACTCTAGTTGTATTTTACACAATTAAGTGTTTTATTTAAAAAGAAATTGAATGGTTTAATGGCATCTTTTAATGTATTTCTAATATTGTTAAGAGGCTGCAGTGGTTGCAGAGTGCATTTTTTTATCAATTGATCGTCAGAATAATCAATAACTAAAATAGTTAGTTGCAGCTCTGAAATATTGTTCATGAAGTAGAATGCTTTTTTCTTCTCTTTTGTAGTTTTTTTTCTCCATTTCCTGAAATATAACTGTATAAAGTTATTTACAAATGACTGTAAAGAAAAGTCTGAACATTCTGCACATCGAGTGTGGCATGGTGAGGGCAAATGAAACTGAAACAATACAGACAACGGATTTCATTCTAGAACACTGACTGCTAATTGTTCCGTAATGACCGTGAATGCAGCATTTGTTTGAACTGACGGTAAGCATACCAGTGAGGCCAGAGGCAGAAACAGGCTGCTTCCTTCCTTTGTGTTTCTTAGGCTGCAGCTTGGTTCACAGATTCTGTGAGCTGCTGTTTGTTCTGACTGAGGATCATGCATCCTGCCTGTGTATGTATTAATATATGTTAGTATGTTTGGGAGAAGGATTTCTACCAGTGCATGCTTCCTGTGCAGCCTAGAGAAATGGAGAACTTGATTCAAGTGTCTTCATGAAACAATCCGTTAGCCAGCAGCTATCCACCCATCTGACCTGTTCGTTGTCCGTCTGTGACTTTAGTGTAAACATTGTCATAATCACTCAGAGTATGCTTTCCAATGTCTTATTTACTTGAACAATCTGAGAAGTCCTCCCCCCTCCAATTATTTCATTTTATTTAATTTTTTTTGTGAAGTGGGTTCAGAGGTAGTGAGACTTTGGCCATTTGTAGACTCTGATCTCAAATGCAACATAGAAACATTACAGCTTGGTCATATCTATGCTAGATCTTTCATACATAGAAGTTTGCAGTGATTCTCTAACGTCTCTTTTTCCCCAAATTAAACACATTTCTTAAAACGGAGCATATTTCATGTTACTGTGGGAAACAAAAGTAACTGTTTTAACACCAAATTAAAAGATGGTGGTTTAAAGGGATCATGATTTTATTAGTTATATATATGAATTGTTTTGGACGGTCACTCAGGAATCACTTTACTGTTATACGGAAAGCTGTTATGTTATTTAGTGATGATAATATTAGGAACAGTTCTATCAGTTGTATCAGTGAACACGTAGTTCTTTTTCTCACCACTTTGTGTCTTTTGTTTTTTTCCCAGGCTTCCTGCTGTTTAAAGATTTCTGTATGAACGAGATCGACGAGGCTGTGCCTCAGCTCAAGTTCTACGAAGAAGTAAGTCGGAAGTGTGTGTGTGTGTGTGTGTGGGTGGCATTAGGCCTCTATAATCCAGCTCAGCCACATATGGCCCCCCCAGAAGCCCTGTGAATCTGAGTCCCGTTTCTGTTTCAGATCAAGGAGTACGAGAAGCTGGACTCTGAGGACGAGCGTCTGAGCCGCAGCCGGCAGATTTATGACGTCAACATCATGAAGGAGCTGCTGTCCTGTTCACATGTGAGAATACACAGAGAGGACGCCTGCTGTCGGTCAGGCGGCCTCCAGCATGCTGCTGACTTCAAGTGAAAGCAGAAAATGAATCATTTCTGTCGGGGGATTTATTCAGCTCCTTTAATCAAATGGAATGATTCATTAACTCAGATCAGGTTCCATGTTGCTGCTGTTATGTGTTTTTAAATGGCATATCTTGCTGTGAAAGTTCTGAACCAGACCATTCTGTATGCAACTTGCCAAGGTCAGTCTTTCTGGTTAAAATCCTCCCATTTGAAGCACATGCTACCAAAGACTAAATTCACACAGCAAGCGAATGCGACTCAAATCTGATGTTTTATTTTATTTTATTTTTTCTCCCAAAATGTGGCCTGTGTCTGACTTTTTCATGGCGCTCTGAATGACCGAGTTCTGACCTTTTCACCTCCCAAAAAATCTGATTTGTGCCACATGCATATGTGGAACTAAATCAGATGAGCTTTCGAGAGTGTTCAAAGTCTGAACACTGCATTTTATCTGACCTTTACGTCACTGACATGAGAAATGCATCACAAATCTGCACCAGAAGAAGTCAGACTATGTAAATCTGGACGTAAACAAAGGCTTGTGAAAAAAGTCACAGTAATCGCAATCTCACCACTCTTAGTTTTGGCTACACATCCAGATGCTTGGTTGTTTTTAACATGAATGACCTGTTTGTCATGTGTTTTTACTTTACCAGGCAGCTAAACAAAAAGACTGCTATTTAAAATACCACAATTAATCAAATGACCTAATGTATAAACTTAAAAAAAAAAAAAAAAGAATTTAATGCATTACATTTAAAAACCTCCTTTTTTTGGTTGATAGTGACTTTTCATTTTGCAGAAAAGTCTTGTCTGTTTGCCCAGCTGCATGAAGGGGAATCAGTTGATTTTGCAAATGTCCCTGTCAGGATGCAGGTGTGTAAATACTTCCATACTCATCTTGTGTCAGCTAGGCCAAACAATTAAAAAAAACGCTGATGTCGCTACACGAAGCACTAAAACCGGATTAAACGGGACACCGGCATCCGTCGAGTTCGCCTCTTTTTTTATTGGCTGTAGATTTTATCCAGAATCATCCTAACTGGTAGGCGGTGCTGGGAAGAACACCTTTAACACAAATCCAGCTGCTGCTTCATTTTCCCCTCTGGCTGTGTGTCTGAGATAGCAGCTTCACCTGAATGGATGCTTCGCTTTGCTGATCCCAGTTCAGTTCACAGCTTGCAGTTTTTTACAGTTTTTCCTAATTTAATGTTTCTAGATTAGTCAACACAAATTTGCAGACACAAAATATACATCTTGCAAAAAGTCCCGAACTCTTAAAAACTCTGTGTGCTACAATCAGAAACTTCAATGCGCATTTAAGCAGAGTTTATGCTGTAGAACAAAGTAGCACATAACTAAAGTGGATAACTAATATTAATAATAATACATTTGATTTATAATGCCTTTCTCATCTTGAGATTTCAGAGTTAAAAACAAAACAAGCATTCAGTATTGATAAAAAATACAAGTATCTAAGAAAGTAAACCAAACATTTTTGCAAAAAAGAAACATCTTAAGACCTTTTTGAGTCATAATTATTTTGATGTGATAACTTTAAACTTAAACGGCCCACATACACCCAGCTACCTCTGGAGCCTCCCAGCAGCAGCAGCAGCATGTTGACCCATGGGACAGCCTTCTTGCACAGAGGAAGCAGAACTGAAACTACTGTTCACATTGCATCTTTAATCACCCCGTGTTTTTTTTTTTTTTTTTGCAGCCATTTTCCAAGAAGGCAGTGGACCATGTGCAGAGTCATCTGGCAAAGAAAATGGTCCCCCCAACTCTCTTCCAGGTAAAACGCACTCCCAGCACATGGGAGGGCCTTTTTACACCAAACAGGAAGCAGATTATCTAAAATCAGCTTTTCAAAATAGATGTGAAACTTTTGCTTTCACAGTTTTGCTCAGATACTTAGCAAAGTATGAATCCGGTCAGGAAAGAGAGACTGCTGTCTCTAGACATGGTGGAAGTTATGTCATGCTGTGGGTCAGTTTGCCATGTTGTAAATGGACTTTTTGAGCTTTATAACATATCATAATGTTATTCCTTCATCAAAAACATATCTGGAGTGTTGCCTTGATTCTTTCACGCATGTTTGAGGAATCCTTGAATCAATAAACTAATATAGCAGTGTCTGATGGTGTGCAACAGACTTTGCTTGTCTTTTACTTTCTTTAACATGTCCTGTTTGACAATATGGCTTTGGGTTTATTTCATTTGTAATGGACACAGAGACGGAAAATAAAGGGAGAGAGGAGGGGAAAAAGGTTTAATGGCAAAGGAGGTAGAAGTAGTAGAGAAAGAAAGCTAAAGAAAAAACACCCAAGAAGTTTACTTCTACACCTGCAGAACAAGAAAAAAACTGAGAAACCATAGCAACAAACAAGCACACTCCTTTCATCTGTTTTAACTTTTCTCAGTCAGAAGAGTTTTCCATTTCCTCCAGTTCCTAAAAAGTCCTTGTAGCTGTATATTAGAAACCGTCTCATTAATGTCTTCACTGTAAGCTGCTACAGTACACACCTCACTGTGTTTCCTCTCTATCTGCCAACCTCTGATACTCTCCTCACTGAATTAATGCTATCCATCCAGATTAAGTCTCATATTTTATAGTTATACATGCCTTACTCTTAAGTATCCGTTGTTGGAAGGAAAGGCCCAGCAGAGTAAGTCCAGAACAAGCCAGACAAAAGTTGGCCTGCATCTTGGTAAATCGAATCACTCTTTTCCTCTTTTAGCCCACCGCCTGGCTATTAGTCTGTTTACTCACTTATCCCCTGTGACTCATTGCAACTCCAAAATACGCCATGCATATGCCAGTATTTCCCGTGTTATTACTCAATATTTAAATCGTACATTCAGCTGGAACTGTTGACCGTTTATTAAAACAGATGCTTGAAAAATGTAACTGTTTTTCTCTTTGGTCTTGTGAGCAAAAACTAGAAACTCTGACATGAGCTGCGTGTCCATGTCAGAAGTGAATGTTTCTCATAAGGCTTCTGAGCTGAGCCTCTTTCTGTCTCTGCTGCAGCCATACATAGTGGAGATCTGTGACAGCTTGAGAGGGAACATCTTCCAGAAGTTCATTGAAAGGTGAGCCGGTGAACGTGTGGAAACACAGCCATGGCTCTCACTGCTGGCACGGTCCCATTTTAACCCTGTTTCTGTTCTGACCTCAGTGACAAGTTCACTCGGTTTTGCCAGTGGAAGAACGTGGAACTCAACATCCATGTGAGTACGAGATTGTGACGTCCACCTCTCACACGAGGTTTGATCGAAGTAGAACCTGAAACAGTGCAATGTGAAGGCAGAGTATGTTTATGTTACAGCCACAGATTGCAGTGGCTTTCATTCAGATTTTAGGTTACGGATCAACACAAAGTCGAACATAATTACAAAGTGGAGGGAGAAATTAATTCTCAACATTTTCGGAACTAGAAATCTGAAAAGTGTGGTGTGCATTTTTTGTCATGCAGACGCTGCAGTGACAGCTGCAGGTGTCAGGTTTCCACAACTAGAGACTGAAGCGTTCATTCTTCTTCATAAACTAACTCATTATGTCTGAGCAGCTTCCCTGTCTAAGCTGAAGAAAAGCAGCCACTGCATGATGCTGCCACCGCCAAATTCACTTTATTACTCTATTCTTTTTTACTTTATGTCTTAGTCATGTATTCAGGATAAAGTAAAGGAAGCAGTATGCAAATGCAAAGCAAAAAAAAGTTGTATTGAGACCTGCATGGCTGGTTAAATAATGACATGAAATGGCAATATTTGTAATTGTATGTTCAAAAGCTCTTAAGCTGAACTTCTAAACTTATAGAAAACTTTGGTTTTTTGTCAAAGCTGTGTAGTTGCCAGAAAGCGTTTGTGGTTATGTGAAGCTCAAGCCTAAGCAGAAACTAAAAGTATAAAGCAAAAACTATGAACTCATTTCAGCTATGATTATAACATGACCCAATAATTTGTTATGAATTTATGAACTTCCTCCTAATGCATTGGTAATTCTTCCTGTTGTTTCTGCTGGGGATTCGCCAGTCTGCTTTTTTCATTTCCAATACCGATATCTGAGGTTTAGTATCAGTCGATGCCGATCCAGAAAAGCAACTCAATTGACGAAAAGCATTTCTTTTTTCTAAAACACAGACATATATGGACTAAATTACAAATTAATTTTTTAACTCTGCACCAGTGCAGCACACTTAGATTCACCAATGGCTTCACAGGTTTAATTTGTTCAGTTCGGGCTTTTAGGAATAGAACAGCCGATGTGAAACACAGAATCAGTAGGTTGACTAGTTGGTTAAACATGTAATAAACAAACTGCAACAAACCTTCTTTCAAATGGTTTAGAAAGTCCAGTTAGGATTTCTAAATAATGTAAAATAATTACTAAAGAATGATGTCGCTCAGAGCCCAAAGCATAGAATTAGCCTGAATAGATTTGATTAAAAACAATGTTGTTGTTGAGCTCGCATGTTTTCATTCATAATTTAACAGCAAAGGGGGTTTCTGAAATGAAAATGTTGCTTATTTTGTGAAAATGCATTTAGTTTTTGAATAAAGTGCAATTAAGTAACTGCAGACCTTACAATTAGCTTGATTAATAATGCTAATTGAGTCCCACCACCACTAGTAATAATTGATTCTTAGTGTTTTTTTTGACACATCCAAGCTGGAATTCCTCACTTTCCTTCATCTTAACAGAAATGAGCAAACTATCCAGAAATGGGTCTCAAGACCTGAAATTAGACTGAATAGATCTGTCCTTATAGATGGGGTAAATTGTCACCGATATCCGATCTGGAATGTTTTCAATATCAGGAGTGGTCCAGATATCAATATCTGATGGGTCCAGCTCTAGTTTCGGATTGTTTTTACTCTCCTGCAGCAAAGAAATGGTCATTATGGCTTGTTTTCAATAACACACTGGTGTCTGAAGTTTAGTTTTATATGTTCTTACAAAACATTAGAATAAAAAAAAACAAAAAAAACAAACAAAAAAAAAAAAAAGGTTGCTGTTCTCCCTCAGCTGACCATGAACGACTTCAGCGTGCATCGGATCATCGGCAGGGGCGGCTTCGGGGAGGTGTACGGCTGCAGAAAGGCCGACACGGGGAAGATGTGAGCAAAACAGCTGAAATTGTTAGAAACCCGGCCGCTTCGCCCGCTTTGTTGTAATGCTTTCGACGTTCTCTGGATTCCAGGTACGCCATGAAGTGCTTGGACAAGAAGAGGATCAAAATGAAGCAGGGCGAGACTTTGGCGCTCAACGAGAGAATCATGCTGTCGCTAGTCAGCACAGGGGTGAGTGTCGACTCCAGATGGCTTTTCTTTAAGCTTTAGTCGTTTGAAACTAATTATTGCCCCACTATCTCAAGTTCCTGTGGGTTGGTTAGGTTTTTAAACACACCCGATTCAGAGTGTTACCACCTCTCACCTGACATTTCATCTCTGATGTCCGTCAGTTGTGCGCTTTTTAACACACGTCATCTAAGTCATAATTTAACACTCCGGTTTCTCACAGACGTCCGTCCTGTGAAAAGGCTTCACACCAGCTGCTTGATGGGAGCTTTCTTATTCACAGATCTACATGTCAGAGGTTCTGACAGATGCTCAGACCACCCCAGTAGCACACAGCTGGCATCAGATTTACCCAACATGAGCAACTGTTTAAAGGGGGGAATAGTGGTTTTGTTGTACAATTCTGACCTGGTAGTAACCCTCAGTTTTGGGTCAGATGAGCTCTACTGATTAGCATTAAGTATAGGTGTGAACGCTCTTGGAAAATTAAAAATGGCGACAGCCGTCTCACACCCCTGGTGTGTGGCCAGTTTATTTTGGAGTTGTTGAACATTGTGGTCACAAACAAAACTAGAATAAACTAAGAGTCAACAGATAAATCGGTTGGCTGATAAATCGGCCCAGATTATCTTTACTTTGGGAGATTAGCTAATACTTACAAGTGAAACCAATTCACTGACCTTAGCTTCCTCCAGAAAGGTATGAAAATCAGCCAGTAACTGCATTTCAATTACAAATGTGCACAAAATGTTGTGAATATTCCACTAATGTTGAAAAGACACAATTTTGCAATTGGTTGTTTCCGTAAAATAAGAAATCCAATTAAAATCCCACAAAATACGTTTGTTAAAAAAATACTGCACCATTGTCTTCCTACTACTTCCTGTTGTCGTCTTCTTTGTCTTTTCCACCAGTAGTAACATCCAAAAATATTGTTTCCATTGCGGTTTTTTTGCGAAATACCCTAATTTCAATATAACTGAAAGACCACCTCATCCTAGAACAAAAACTTTTTATCAGAAATATCTTGTGACTTTTTAGCTAAAAAGCAATCAGTGCAGTTAATTCCAGGACATCATTCAGTTCTATAAGCTGGATTGTTATTGCTGCTGTCGAATGCAACAACAGCTAATCAGTTTTTACAGTCAGACTCTCTTGTCCGTAATAAAAAGAGTGATGCATTATGACAGTGATTGGTAATGTAACCAGCTGTACTCCCTGGTGGTAGAATGCACTCTGTGAACCTGGAAGTCTGAGCGTTGCAGCGGCAGGCTGTGTGTCCTTCTACTATCAAAACTAATATTTACAGTGAAGAATGAAACGAATCCCTTCCTGCCAAGGAGGCGTTTGATGTTTCATTGTGTTGACATCGTTTAGGCTAAACACTAAAGCTAGTGAATAGCTTTGTTTCTGCACGAGTCAGAAAATAACTTTGATTTGAAGTGTTACTGTGTTTGTTTTAATACAGTGAATAACTCAGAACAGTTATTTATTTAACCACCCAGTATGAACAGCGGTGCAGAATCAGACAGGAAGCCTGTTGGCGCCAAATCTGTACAGGTGCTGTAAGCAGCCAACCAGAACCAGCCTGTAGGAGGGTGTGAATACTTTTCTGAGCAGCTGTTCAGGGAACAATAGTCTTAAGGTTTTTGATAAATCTAATAGTCAGGGTCAAGACACTTTCAGAAAGAGCACTGAGCTGATAACACACACTCTGGCCACCTTATCTACACACAGTCTTACACTTCATTCATTCATTCATTCATTCATTCATTCATTCATTCATTCATTCATTCATTCATTCATTCATTCATTCATTCATTCATTTTCATTGATTCTAAAGGGAAATGAAATACAATGAAAAACGAAGCAAGTAAAAGGTCCCCAGATTTTCTCTTTTTACTCTGTAAGTTTACAGATTACACATATCTGCAGCTGCATTTACAATGAGAATCTGCTTCGCTGGCCGAGTGTGTGTACGTGTGTGTGTGAGGGTTGGTACACAGACTGGAACGGTAACTTTGGTTTCACTGAAGAGTCCCTGGAAGATGTTTATTGTTATTATCAGAAAGAGAGGCTGAGGGAAGCCTGAAGGTAAATGTCTAAACAGTTTGTGTCCAGGATGTGTGGGGTCTGCAGAGATGTCAGTGGTGCGTTCACTGACCTGTAAAAGTCCAGGATGGATGGAAGGTCAGTGCTGGTCTGAGTCACCATGTCTATCGCCATGGTGACTCAGACCAGTGACAGTGGGATCATCAGGAAATGAATTTGAATCAAAGATGTAACAACATCACTGAATGAAAACAAGTTTAAACTTATTGATGATGAGGATGATGATGATGTGTGTGTCTTCCTTCCAGGACTGCCCGTTCATCGTGTGTATGACGTACGCCTTCCACACCCCCGACAAGCTCTGCTTCATCCTGGACCTCATGAACGGTAGGCTGACCTCTGACTCATCATCCCAGATCAAAACTCTGAGGCTTCATCCTCAGACGGGCCGACTGGATCGCACAACCCGACTCTGGTTGATGGGCTCATTCCCTCCCTCAACAATCTTCACCCTTCAGACGATACTTAGAGCACATCGTTGTCAGTGTTATGATACACTTTGTGTGTTCCTGTGTGTTCAGGGGGCGACCTGCACTACCACCTCTCCCAGCACGGTGTGTTTAGTGAGAAAGAGATGCGGTTCTATGCTGCTGAAATCATCCTGGGCCTGGAGCACATGCACAACCGCTTCGTCGTCTACAGAGACCTCAAGGTGAGCCGCTGATCCTGAAATGCCAAAGTAGCATTTAGCGCATCGATATACGTTACCAGATAGGACAACACCGATTAGACGCTATAGCTAGTGACGGTTCTAATGTGGGATGTGAATTAATTTCACATAAATGTTCGTAAGCCTATTTTTTGCTTACTATTCTGTATATACATTTATATTTCTGTTCTTAAATTAAAGCTGAGAAAATTGCCAATAAAGGATGTATAATCCCTAGATATGAATCTAAAAACTGTTTATTTTCTGTTGAGATGCATGAAAGCAAATTTCTTTTTATATTGGACAATATAATTTTATGTAATTGCTGTAGGAGACATGGTATAAAATGTAGCAAACTATGGTTTCCTATTTAAGTGTTATGAATATCTCCAAGTTCTGTGAACAAACGAGGCAATACTTCAGTTTTTATCGTTAAAGTTTTGTAAATTACATCGGCTGCAATGCCGATGCATTGGTTGGAGTGAACTCTGACTTGGTTCAAATGCATATGTGAACACCAAGTGAACCGGAGAGTGCTCCAAAAGCAGGAGGTGCACTACAGCGCAGGGCATTCTGGGTAAATGCAACCAAAACAAACTTGTTAGAGAAATGGCACATGGCCTTTCACTAAAGACAAAAGAGAAATACTCCAATCGCTAAGCTCTGACGCCGCTCCATTTTTGTTTACATTTCATGAAGAAGGAAGTTGTGCTCAGTATTTTCTTCAGACGTTTTCATGTCATTTCTTAAAGTAGTTCATGTTGCAGTGCCCCCACATGCAAGAGGGGAGGGGGGCAGGTTGTTCCACACTGAATAACCACCTCCAAGCAGGCCACAGGGGGCGCTCTATGGGGCTGTCAGCGTTTCCCTTTACTGCCAATCAGATGTTTTAATAATTCAAATTTAGTCATTGCTCTCAGAGTTTCATTTAATTTCCAACACTGCCTGGTACATTTTTAATATCATGTTACAGGATGAACCACGACCGCTGACGTAACGCTTTTTATCTTGCCTAAATTACATTAATAGAAGGGGAAAAAAAAGTATGAATAAAGAGTGTCTGTCAGGGATCTCCCCTACCTGCTGCCACTGCATAGAGCAGAACATCGAGCTTTAACTACACCCACCCACATAAAAATCCTTGTTTTCAGCCTTTCCCCTGTTTCAGCTCTGGTTCTGTTGTTTGGACGGGTTGCCATAACAATAGCCAAGATTTTGCAGGGGTTCAGGGAACATTTTCAGAGCTTCTATAAACAGTCGAGTGCAATGCGAATACTACGTCAACGCCGAGCGCTGCAGAGCGAAACAGAGCGAAACAGAGCGAGAGAGTCACAGAAGGTAACCAGGACAGGAGGCCGTCTTCTGCTGTCTGCGTCTGCTCAGAATGTGAAGTGGTAACCTCTGCTTGTTGTCGTCCTCCGTCAGCCGGCCAACATCCTTTTGGACGAACACGGCCACGTTCGGATCTCAGACCTCGGCCTGGCCTGCGACTTCTCCAAGAAGAAGCCCCACGCTAGCGTGTAAGTGCAAGTGCCTCACACTCACAAACGTTTATTTCTCAGGAGGAAGAACGTCGATAAGAGACGTTTTATCTGTGGCTTTGTTGCTTTGGTGGTTATAAAATTGCGGCTTCACTCATTTCATAGAGCAGAGCATCAAAGATGTGACGATTCTTTAATTTTTATTGCCTGATACTGATCTCTGCTTATATTCAAGATCTCAGCAGCTAGTTTGTTTGTTTTTTCTACATGGAGGAATAATTATATATTTAAGAAAAATGTACTAAATATGGAAAATGTTTTTTTTTTTAATGTTTGACCTGACAGTTCTTTGTGATCAGGGGGATAATTTAGTCTGCTTTATTTAAGAGAAATGACCCCTAAAGATTTGAATTAAAAATGAATTGAGTGATAAAATGCAGATCATTTCACTGCTTTAAACTGGATTTGTAAACACTTCTGTCTGCTGTAAACACCACCTTCGGTTTTATAAATGCTTCTTGGAACAATGTGTACATGTCTGGTGTTCTGGCCATTTATGTTGAATTTTTATAAATCATAACTTCTGCCAGTTCAGTTTTCTTCTTTAGACAGTTAGAATACACTTGAGTTATTTTTGAACCAAAATCTGTAGTTCATTTTTGTACTTGGAATTATGATTACTTTGGTAACTTTTACACCCTCCTATTATTTTAAGAAATTAGGAACACACTGTAGTTGTGTCAACGGACATTTTTGTTTGTCAAATGTCCGGTGTGATGAGGGGAAGTGTGTTAAAATATTTTTTTTGACCACTTTTTGAACTTGGAAGATCAAATTAAGTTAACTTTAATTTACATCAAGTTAATAAAAATGTCCTAGACATAATTTTGTCTGTATTTTTGATAGAAATAAAACATTTTTTCAAACAAGTCGGAAGTGCGTTTAAGAAACAGACCACCTGTTTCCACCCACGACCTTTATTTGGAATAATTTTGGTTTTGGAGATGAGTAGACTGTGACGTCTGGTCTGCAGTGTCAGAAAGTCCAGAAATCCCAGCCAGCTTTATGAGCATCATTCACTAACAGCAACTGTTGCTTATTCGTCAGACTCATTATGAAATGCGCCTGCAGGGATGATGTGACTAATATTTTCTGGAGATAAACCGACTCCATCTTGTAATCTGCAGAAATTCAGACAGCAGCAAAAGAATCCAACATTTTTAGGAATGTGTTTTAAAGCATTGACACAAATAAAAATAAAAACAAGCTGCTGATTTCTCTACAGCATCAGTTGGACTTGCATGTATAGCAGATATCTCACTGCCATTGACGTTTCTGTTCTTGTAGAAGCAGCTAATGAGTTTAAATCATTTCCTTTCAAACCAATTTGTTGGAAATGTTTTACATCCGGTCACGTTTTTCCACTCTCCTGTTTGGTTGTCTTGCTCTGTAAATCACCAATGTGTAACTCCAACTCGCTGTGTGTGTGTGTGTGTGTGTGTGTGTGTGTCACAGTGGGACTCATGGCTACATGGCTCCAGAGGTCCTTCAGAAGGGAACGGCGTACGACAGCAGTGCAGACTGGTTCTCTTTAGGCTGCATGCTCTTCAAACTCCTCAGAGGGTAAAAAGCTCCAGCTTTCCTCGCTGCTCTCCTCTTCCTCCTCTTCTGTGCTCTCCACTCCCTCCGCATCCTGACGTCCTGTCCGCTTTGAAACCTCTTCTGGCTCTCTGTGCGAGCCTCTTTGAATCTGCTCACTTCCCCTTCTCTCTGAGTTCCTCTCACCCGCCAGCCTTCTGTTTGGTGTGTGTTTGATCTTGTTTGTGTATGAGAGCAAGTGTGTGCGTGTGTTTGATCTAGAGTGTGTAAATGCCAGAGGTCTGGTCCCAGCAGGCCGAAATCCAGGTAAAGGGTGTGTGCGTGCGGGAGGGAGGGAGGGAGGAAGAGAGAGGGAGAGAGAGAGAGGGAGAGAGAGAGGGAGGGAGAGAGAGAGAGGGAGGGAGGGAGAGAGAGAGGTGTCTTTCCACTGATGTTTGGATCCACGTCCTTAAAGAAGAAGTGTTTGTGTGTGTGACTGAGAGAGAAGCTGACTGTTTCCAGTTTGAGGGGAAAATATAAATAGTTTTTATCTACAGGACTCATTATTAGAATATGAATGTAAAGGACACAGTAAATACTTCAAACTTTGGAGTTTGCAGTAAGTAAAAGTATCTACTCCATTTTATGCTGCTTTTGCTTTTTGTCACTATTTAACATTATCAAACACATTTTAATATCAGGCATAGATAATCAAACCATGAAAAAAAAAACTATTATCCCCTGAGCTAAATCATGAACTTACTGTAATTCACCAAATTTTATGGAAAACTAACAGTTACTAAGCAATGATTACTCCACTCTTTCATTTAGCAGTAATCGTTGGCAACACAAGAAGACAATGGTTTTAAGCACAGGGTGACTCTTTTATTGCTTACATTTATGGTGATTTCAGGACTTTCACAGCTTCATCTGGACAATAAAATAAGTTGATCATTCTGTGTCGCTGCAAAAAATCCAGGGAATATACCTTTATTTTTTTGTCATAAAATACGTTTCTAAGCCATTAAAGTTGATTACAATAATTATTATGCTTCTGATTAGTCAGCAAAACAAAAGTAGTGCAACAAAAGAGAGCTGTGACAGAGTGACGGAGTGATGGTGAAGTTTTCTTCCAGGATGTGAACCGTCTCCTCCTCCGCATCCTAATTAGACTCAGTCAAATCTGGGTCACTTCAAATTACCATTTCTGAATTATTGGGCTGGAAGTTTTCTGAGTACAGTTTTAAATTTTAACTAAGGGGGCCGGAGCGTGACATGTTTTAAAAAGAAGCTGAGTTGGCGGTGTTTTTTTGTTTTTGTTTTTGTGTGCGTGTATGTGTGTGTGCGTGCAGCTGTTTTGTTCACCCTCAACCATCTTCACCCTTTCCTAGTCGCTTCCGCTCCTCCTTCCCGTTTCTACTCGTCTCCACCTGGTGACATCAGCTTCTCCTCTCTGTCGTCTTCAGGCACAGCCCCTTCAGACAGCACAAGACCAAAGACAAACATGAGATAGACCGCATGACGCTGACCATGGTAAGCTGCAGATATCCCCTCATTACACAGTAGACCTCCTCTGTGTAAACATGCTATAATGCAGAAGGTGATAAAAGTCTGTGCTCAATTCCAAATGCATGTTTTTTGTTGGACGCTTATGAACAATCGATGTGAGGAAACTCCAGGGGAGCCATAACCAGGTTGATGTTTGTCCTTCAGATAGAAATGTTTCCGTCGTCCGTCTGTGTTTCTCATGAAAGGATGGCACTCTGTCACTGGGTCAGAAGCATTTCGTCTGCCTCCATGGCAGCTGAAGTGTGCAAATATGATTTGTACAGTGACAGTGCAGGGAGAAAACAGTGGCCTAATGGCTTTGAAGTGTCTCATTATGTAACATTTCTGTTAGAACCTAGATGAAGGTTCAAACAGAAATGTGACTGATTTCCTTTTTCTATCAAGTCTTAGCATTCTGCCTCTCGTTCCAGCCACAGACATGGGAGCAGCCATTTATGGTGAAAAAGTAATACGAATTTGATTCATCATTATTGTAAATTAAAAACAAAACTGACAACATGATCGGAAATGTTATTTTTGCTTTAACATGTTAAAATGTGAAAAAGCATAAGGGTTTTATATTTTACACTTTACATTGAAAAATTTAATTGGTGATATTTACACTTTTTTTTTTTCAATTCAACACAAAGAAATACATTGAAATGATTCGTTCCCTTCTATATGCTGCTGTTTGATGCTAAAATGGCTTCCAGTGTGCTGCTGTCTGAACAGGTGTAAACACATAACAGACACACAGCAAACATCAGAGTGGCGTTCAGATCCTTCTGATGCTACGTTCAGAGATGCTCTGGGAGTTTTTGTTACATCTGAAGGTCAGTAAGTCCAACGACCCGTCCGTGGAAGAAAGAGGAAGTCTGCGGAGGGTTTGTCGTCTTTTAACAAGCTGGATTCCAGTCCCAGCCTCGCTTGCAGCTGGAACTCGTTCACTTGCAGTATGACATCATTTCCTGCCCCTTGACTACTGAGGCAGATGGGACTGAGTATTAGCTGCTCCCCATGCTCCGTTTGTATCCTCGTATGAGCCCTGTTGTTTTGGACAATGACTCAAATGTGTTTAGATTAATCTTACTCAAAGGGAGAATCTAAAATTTGTATTTTTTCCCCTGTTTTGTTATATGCCATCATCGAAATAATGAAGCAAATGTACATCAAATATGTTGATCCATGTTCTGGTTTTTATGAATTAAAGGCATAAACAGGTTCATTTTTAGCCGTGATTTAAAGGAACTCTGTGTTTTGGCTCTTCTGCAGTTTTCTGGAAGTTTGTTCCAGTTTAGTGGAGCATTAAAACTGAATGCTGCTTTTTCTGCAAATATGTTCTACCCAAAACTCCTCAAGTGGCAGTTTCAGCTTTATCTGGTTTAAGCTCAGTAAAAGGAAATTTTACACTAAGCGCTATCAAATTATTAATAAAAAAAATATCAGATCAGCCCTATTATGTATTGATGTTAAGCTAAGCAGAAGGGGCTGAGCTTCATATGTTAATGGAAGTATTCCTTATCAGCAGATGCATGTTTTGCTACAAATGATGAAGCGCTCTCTAAACGAATGCTGTTACTGCATTCTTTTGACACTGTTATTTAAGAGGAATTGAATTGTTTGTATTTTAAGGTATTTTTTATTTATCGATATATAAAAAGTGGTTAACTGGCAGAATGTGGCAGTTTTTTTTACCTGATTAATTGATCAATCGTCAGTATAGTTAATAAAATAATCGATTACTAAAATAATAGTCGCGGCTGTAGAGCCAGTTTAAAAGAATTGTGTGAAAAAAGATTTTCTGCTTTTCCATTAACCATAGAATTATGTAAATATGAATTACAAAAATAAATTTGCATAATGGAAAAACTTATTTCAAAAAACGTTTTGCTCTAGGATGAGGTGGTTTTTTGACTGTATTGAAATTAGTGTGTTGTGCAAAACTACAATGGAAACACTTTTTCACATCGCAAGTCATGTGATCAACCGGATGATATTACTGGCAGAAAACATGAAGAAGACAGGAAGTGATAGGATGGATCATGGTGCGGATCTGTTTTTTTTTTTTTTATGACTTGATGCGTGAACTTATTCACTTGTAATTTTAATTGATATTTAGTTGAAACAGAAATTGCGTTATTGTGTTTTTTTTTACATTAATGGAATATGGACCAAGTTTTGTGCACATTTGTAATGAAAACACAGCTAATGTACAATCACTGGCCAGATTCGCTGACAGAAATCCTCAACCATCCATGACTAAAGAACAATATGCGTGTGTGTGCGCAGCCTCTCGGAGGAATATGCTGCCTGGCCTTTTTGATGTCATGGGTCACGCTCAGGATGAATGACATCCATTGAGCCCACACTGTGACATGTGTGCTCTCGCCCACCTATCCTGGCCTGCCTCCTCCTCTCCATTCACACTGAACTCTGACGAGTTGAAGCGTCGCGGCAGCTCTGCCTGCGCCAGCTGCTGCGCATCTGAAATGCAACTCATCCAACTGTCTAAGTCCGTTTGTGTTACTTGTAAGGAATGGGAAGAGGGAACTGCACCCTCTCCCTTCTCTCTAGCAGAGCAAGATCTCTAAACAGACAAAGTCTAATCTTTCATATCACAATAAATCCAGATTAGGATTGGAATCCAGCCACTTAATCTGGTTTATCCTCTAATCCTACTCTGGGTGTGTAACAGAGATGACCGGCAGTGGCTCTGTGAAAGACTGCAGTCCAGCTCTAAAAGTCCACCCTAATGCATGTTTGTGTTTATTCAGCATGATGAATGACCTGGTTGCATGAACTCAGAGGAAGCAGAGATGGATGGAGCGGGTCCCAGTCGCTGGCACCTCTGCTCTCTCAAACATCTCCATGAACCAGCAGATAAAGGCCGTCAGCAGCAGACCAACATGCTGCTGCAGATCAACTGTTGGGCTGAGGAGACAATCTGGCTCCTCATAACCAGGTTGCAGCTCAGAGCAGTGCAGAAAGAAAATAAGTGACACTTTTTGTCTGTGGGACTATGACATGTATTCTGGATTTTGTAGCTTCTTTGACATGGACAGATGTTTCTACTGGGTCGATCGGCTCAAAGAGTAGCTCTTATCTACTTCCATCAGATGTCGATGTGCCCCTAGTTGCCTACAGATCTGCTCATTGGTGTGTGACTTTGTGTGTGTGCTGACTGGAAAAAAGGCTTTTAGTGGTCAGTAGGAGTGGTCATGCAAACATACAAACAATTATTGTTTGATTTGCAACACAGATCAGACCCTCACTTTTAATTGATTCAGTAAAATATTTTATGTAGCATATTTGACCAACTCTGTTGCTCTGGAGTATGCAGTGGAGCGGAGACACCTGCAGTGAATCCAGTCTGACAGAGAGGCGGATGTAGCAACAGCGCCCGCCTCCCTGGCCTTTACCACAGCGTGGAGACGTAACTGTACAACAGCACGTTATTCAATCATCTGACTGGTTTTTAGGTTTTTAGGTTTTCCCACAGTTTAAGGCCCTCCGGCTTCCTGTGCTGTAACACTTACACATCTCTGCTGTGACACACCTGAACCAAATAATTAGGCCAATATCAGGACTTTATGCTGATGATTCAGCCCATTTATTTAGGTGCAAGGCACCAGGGATGCAGCCGTCTGTGAGGACTGGAGCTCCAGTCCGTGCTGTAGATGTGCAGTAGTATTCAGATCTGAGCAGATCGCAGAGAACAGACTGTTCTGTAATGATTCATTCTTAGCCCTTCCTGGCTGCTCTCAGCTATGTGTGGCTTTTGGGTCATAATATGTGACTGACACTGAGCTTTCTGACTCTGGACATAGTTTTGGCTCTTGGATGAGATTTAATTAGGCCCTGCTCAGATCAAAGGTTCCCCTTACCAGATACAGCAAAACCTCTCCCAAACCAACCCAACTTGATTTCTGTGTCTCACTGTTGGTCTGGTTTACTGCAAAATCTCATTTCGTAGAGATGATGGGACTGACCATTGGAGGGACCTTGGAGTCCATCAGCACACATTCAAATGAATTCCAGACTGTATTTATTTAGTTTTTCTCGCAGGAGAGGAACCTATTCATCCTCTTCTTAACCAAGAGGAACCTGGTTAGTTTTGGATGGTTTTCTTGGCTCTTCTTCCACCATCCACACTATCCACCTGATCAATGTAGGGTTACATTTCCCACTATAACCCTGAGAGTTTGGCTGCTTTCTCCTGATTCTCCTGTTGGCAGCTTTGACCACAGAAACATGAAGCTCTTTGAAGATGATCTTGTTGCCATTTCCTTTAACATGGATATCTAGAATCATCTCTCTGAGCTCCTCAAACACAACTAGTCATTGCTTTCTCCAGTCCGGTCTCAGAATGGTGCACACAGTAATACAAATGTACCTAGTGGAAGTTTGTTAACTCTGTAGTGACTCTGGGCGGGTCGATCAGTCAACCTACTTATTTCACAGCAAAATTTGGCGGTTACAGACTTCCAGACCTTTGTGGAGGCAGATGAGGTCAGTTTCTCAGCCCAAGGTTAAAGAATTCAGGGCTGATTTATCAGGTCAGAAACATGAATGTAACTGCAGCACTAATAGTTTCTTTAGGGTACCTACAAATTTGTCAATACTATTTTAAAACATCTTTGTAGAAAACAACAACAACAAAGATATTTCCTTTCACTATGGGTGTAATGGTTAACTCTATCACAGACTAAAGTCAGTCAGATTAGATTGGTTTTGTATGAATCATGTTCTGTAGGAGCATTTATTTCAAAGAGTAAAAAGAGGACAAATACATTTATCCACGTCTATATTTCATAGAACCTATAAGTATCAACACACAGATGTGAACAAGTCAGCATAAATGGGGGGTTTGGTTTGTGAAGATGTCATCGTCTGTAAAGAACAACTCAGTCCATCAGCCTCAACTCAGCGGCCCGTTGAATTTCTTTAAAATGCAAACTGGACACCGTTACAGCGGCTATCTAAACAAATGTCCTGCTTAGAACGAAGATGCAGCTTGAACTCTGCAGTAATCC